AAAAGGTTGATGACCAAAAAGAGACATAAAACAATAGCCAAATCTATCTTAGGTTGCTCGAGGGAGTTGGAACTTAACGAATAAATAACTTATAAATTCATAAACGGACAAATTAAGAAAGATATGTTATATATTATGTCAGTACAGAATCACAGTGTATATTGAGTTGATAATATCCTTGGGGACTAACAGTCCACTAAACGAAGAACAAATAAGAACCACAGCAACCATGGGCAAGCACTTGAACACAGACTCCTTTCTTGACGCAACAGGCAAAAAAAAAATGTAGCGAGGTTAACCATCATGGTGAGCTAAACTAATAAACTATATTGAAACCTATTCTTGACCTCAATTTATTATTCAAAACAGACAGAGAGTGAGTTGTTGTTGGTGTGAAACCTTGGAAACTAGCCTAAAGATCTTAATGAAAAACAAGAATCAACTACAACAGATATTATATATGAAGTGCAGATGAAAAAAACACCCAAAAACAAAGATTATAAAAATAACAATGTTTATAAGAATAACAATGAAATTCAATATAGAAATAAGAAGATGTTGTATGATTGATAATAAGAAAATTCCACACCACTGACCAAAAGACGTTACCAACTATAGGTCAGCATACGTGGCCTTCAACAATGAGCAAACTCATACCGCGTAGCAAGTAATAAAAAGTCCCGAAATGAAAAATGTAAAAAATTTCAAACGATAAAACTAAATCTCTGATTTATGTACAAAACAATAAACGTAAACGAATATGAAATACAGCGATTAACCCATGTTCTAACTTCAGATTTTTTTCTAAGAAATCCACTAACCACTGTATAAACTTAAGTTAACTTATTATCTAACTTTTCGCTTTTGGCTTACGAATTTTTTACCCCTCAACAATTAATATCACATTTAGGGTTCGAACTTGTGCGTATTTTTTAATAATCATCTTTATCTTCTTTCTGTGCATGATATCACTCGACAACGACTGCTGACATACAACATTTGATAACTTAAAGCGCTTAACTGATAAATTCGTGTCTGTACAGGCCAACAAAATTTATTGCTATCTCATTGGGCTACTTTCGTTTATGAAAAATATATTATGACTTTTTTTATCTTGTTGCCTTTTATGTTTAGTGTCAATTTATATTATTTGTGGCATTATTCATTAATTTTAAGGAAGCTTACGTTCAATATTTTACCGTTTTAATTCAGAACATAGTACAAATATAACGATTAAACGAAAAAAATAAGTCAGTATTATTATAAAGCAATAACAAAATATAGAACTTGACAAAGAGCAGAAAAAAATTACTCAAAACCAAACATAACAAAAAACGTCTATACCGGATGTTTGAACATTGGTCGATTTTCATTTTCATAAAAACACACACACTCACCACCCCCCCCCCCCCCCCCCCCCACCACCACCACCACCACCACCACCACAAACACACACACAGTGCACATTCAAAGACTTTTAATTGTCTCTTCCATCATAGCAAATGTTTACTTATGATTTTAGTCTGATATAACATTTTATCAATCACATTTACTTTTTTTGGCAAAAATTGTTTAAATAGACCTCATGGTTGTCGTTTGTTGCTGTATATTATATTTGTTATTCGTTAATAGGTTTGTACATAAATCAGGCCGTTAGTTTTCTCGTTTAATTGTTTGACCTGTGTCATTTCGGGGGCCTTTTATAGCTTACTATGCAGTATAGGTTTTGTTCATTGTTGAAGGCAGTACGGTTATCTATATGTAGATGTTAACTTCTATTTTATTTCGTTTCTGGTGGAGAGTTATCGCATTGGCAATCATACTACATCTGTTTATTTTTATACCTTGTCAATATTGGAAGGAAACTAAATATTTAATCAAATATAACAAAACGGTACAACCGCACACTTAGTAACATAAAGATCCGCAAATGGTGAAAGTAAAATACATTATATTCTCTGCGATTGAAAAATATTTATAAACTTTTTCATTTCGGGTATTCGATTAGAATCCCTGTACTTTTAACAAGTTTAACATTTATCGTTCTATTATTCATCACCAACACCTATACTTTCACGGCTATCGACGACGCCTTGGTCTTTTAACATATAAATATACATACAAAATATAATGCACACTTAATTCTACACTTTCAAATTTATTGTTTAGTTTCTTTTATAGCTAATAATTTCCCAAATCTTGTTAATATAATTTGTCTTACAGATAAAGATTGAACATACTCTCCGAACAGAGAGCTCGGTAGTCGAGTGGTCTAAGTAGACGATCTGAGTAATATCACTAGCCTGTCAACACTGAGGTTTTGAGTTCGAATCCCGCACGATGAAGGTGCGCTCGACTCCATTTTTAATTGACTTGGATTGTCAGTTTTCCTACCGAAGGTCGGTGGTTTTCTCCGGGCACTCAGGCTTCCTCCACCAATAAAACAATAAAAGCTGACATCCACAAAATACCACAATAGTGCTGAAAGTGGCTTAAGTTGCTCGTTGACTATCGTCTACGAATCCACTACTTCTTATAAATTATCTTCTACATATCAAATGATGTATAAAGTAAGAAGATAGTATCTTAACTTCCAAAGAAAGAATGACAATCGGAAACGCGACAATAAATTTGTTCAAACACAGAACTTCAGGATGACTTTGCTTCGGAAGTTGAAGATAGCATATCTATTATTGATGCTAATATTTCGATGGTCCATAATGAAACAGATGGCAGGTATCAAATAAAACAAAACGGGTTTTGTATGAACCCCAAAACCGAATGAGGCGGTGTTTTGCTGCCATGGTAAACAATCCCACGTATACTTCAATAGTCAAACAATACTCAAGTCGTCCTGTTAAAAAATGAAAAGATCCTAATACTAGTATATCATGCCATTTTTTAAAACATTACACATCCGCAAGTAAATGTTATTGCCTGAATATTATTTCTAATCTTAAATAAATCTAGAACATTGCGGGTCCGTGACTGAATTAAAGTACCTACGCCTTATTTTTAGCATTCGTATTGTAATCTGATAAAGTGATGCTGATTATAAGGTGCACAGTTTTCTCTGCTTTCAAAATCTTTCTGTTTGAATCCGTCGACCGGAATTTGTTAACTATTGATAATATTGATTATGTGGAAAACAAAAGGGCTGGAATGGTGCAATTTTTAATCAACACCATTGTCCTATATTAGTTACATGTATATATAAAGTTGAATTATTGATCCGTCGTTTTTACGTCATGCCGGCTTACAAATTAGAAAGTACCTATGCCTTATTTTTAACCTGGATTTTTGATATTCGTATTGTCATCTGATAAAGTCATAAGGTGCACAGTTTTCTCTGCTTTCAAAATCTTTCTGTTTGAACCCGTCCTTGTTTTCTTACTACATTATCAAGTCGAGCATGCCGACGAAAGCGGACTTGAAAATGTTTGCAGAGAGAATCCTTCAACATCCTTGAAATGTTTTTGTCAAATTGCTTTCATAGATACATACTATTATCCTTACATCGTATATTTTATGTTTTGGATTATGTTTTGTTGAGGAAGGTTCCTGCAGATATTTTCAGGTTTGTTTGAGACATGTCGTCAGATGGGATCCATTAGTAGTTTTCATGTGGGAAACTATCAGATCAATCTATTTGATGTGTGAGGGTTTTAGCTGTTCCCCTAATGGATCGGTAGTTTCTTTCCGAGATCCTTTATCGTAGAATTTTCGGCTTTCCTTTACTAGGAATACAGCTGGGCATTTAGCAGTATCGGTTTGGAATCCAAGAATGTCCTTACCGGTTTCCAGTTCGTTGCCATGACATTCGTGCGGCATCAAGGTTTACTTTTTCTCTTATTTTGTATATATTTTGCACTTTTATTTTCCACTTTTTATATTTTTAGGATGAGCAAATCAGATGGGTGGGTGTGTTCGTATGTTTTATTGCATTGTATTTATTCATGTTTTGGGGAAGGTTAACTTTCTGAAAAAAAACATGAAAGTCCGGTCACGACCAAGCTTAGGAACTGGGTAGGCAAATGCTCACATTAAATCTGTGCCGATAGAGTGTGCTAAATGTCCTCCTTTACACTATAACTCATGGTGGTGCTCCTAATGAAAGGAGACTTATACGTAGCATACTACAATCGGAAATACATGCGACATATACTATTGGTATCGGTATCGGATTCGACCCGGAAATTATTGGTAATATCAATTATGTGGAAAACAGAAGGGCCTGGAATAGTGTATTTTTTAATCAACACCATTGTCCTTTATAGGTAATATATGAAATTGAACTCTTTAATTCTTCGTTTTTACGTCATGCCGGCTTACAAATTGGACCTCATTATTTTAGTAGTATAGATTATTTAAGATTGCAAAAAGAAGAAAGACTATACACATGTATAGCTGTATTAACATCATAATTTTGGTTTCGGTTTTGATTGGAATAATACCTTTTTTTTTTTTTAAATATTCAAAATTTGACAAAGCACGTAAAAATTACGGTTTTAGGGCAATCTTGATGCGATTTAAATTGTGATCTGTTGATGAAATAAGCCAAAGTACACATATGGAATGGTGATACTGTGAATTCATGTTACGATTGAAAGACTGTTTGAAAATTGCCCAATTGTAAATAAAAATCCAGTGGCCTACCTGTTTTATAAAATGATGCATGTATAAAGTATCGAAACTGCTTTCAGGTTCCTGCAAAGAAGTATACTTGTCAAAGAATCGAAATAACAGTGGAGAATATATACTTTATCATGACGAAAACCCTTTCAAGGTATATTGCTTCTTCGAAGGAGATTGGGTGTATACATTTATCTCAAAATCGTCGTATAACATATCAATTGACTTGTCAAAGTTATACAACACTAGAAACTTTGCTAAAGTCCGTATCAGGTGGAACAACGGTACACAAAATGAAGTTACTGTAGAAAATCTGACAGGGTATCATCATAAGTCTGATCTCTACTTCGGTTATAACAACCATGTCGCCATATTTGTTTCTTGGATTTTTACCAATTAGCTCGGCAAGAGACAAAACCATACAAGGATACCGCGCTAGAGATAGGGATTTTACCTTCAGAAACTGTGATGCTAATCCAAACAGTTACATAACTTTCTATTTTAATCTGAATAGTAGCCATCCGAGGTGAGTTGGTTATTCAGATATGTACAATGTGAATTTTATGACCGGTTGGATGAGTCATTCGTCATTAATAGATAGCAGTTTACCAATGGGCAGTGAATTTTATTTTGATTTTGAGATGCACATGGGAGGTTGTGGTGGATTTATGACATCATATTATTTATCCAATATCACAGTAGCTTTAGGATTACCCTTTGGTAAGTAATTACATGTTTTCTCGCATTCAAATGCGTTTTAAGTTTTGATGTTAAAATCGTTTTATTTTTTTATTACGTTTTCGTCGTCTTCTAAATGCGACGCAATTTGAAAAGGACTTACATGTATGTCTATCTTTTATCGTATTTAGTAGCATCTCAACTTGCCTGTCCCTAACTCAGTTGAGAAACACTTCCTTATAAAAGACTATTTTGCAAGGCCCCAATGAAGTCTGTTATCTTTTACAAACTCTTCTCCTCTAAAACTACTGGTCCAAATTTAACCAAACTTGTCAACAATCATTATTGGGGTATCAAAAAATGTGTCCGATGTCCCCATCGGCTAGCCTACAAGGACGACATGACCTAAAATAGAACATATGGGTAGACGGCAAATTTGTCTGTTATCCTGAAAGCCGTTATGGATAGAAAAAATCTGACATGCACATTGTTGAAGGCCGTACGGTGACCTTTAGTTGTTAATTTCTGAGTCATTTGGTCTCTTGTGGAGAGTTGTCTCATTGGCAATCATACCTCATCTTCTTATTTTTATACATAAATTATTAGAATGTTTAGATCTACCACTTGTTTTTCTCTTTTGCCTATTATCTTTAATATTACAATAGATAAAGAGAAACTTCTTACAGCAAAAATGATCAGCAAGACAAGATCTGCAAATAGATAAAATGTTCAGTTGTATTCTTATAGGAGTTATCGCCATTAACGTTAACTCATTGACAATAATTATTGTAATTATTTAGAGCAATTATTGAAGAAAACAATATATTTAAATACATGTACTTCCAGAGCTTTTGAAAAATTCTAAAGAACATGAGGAAGAACTTAGAGACATGAACATGACAAATACAGGTAAAACATCAATAGCATTTCTTTCTTATTGGTATCGAGTTTTTTAAAAGGTCGGTTTTTTTAAAAAAAAAAATTATCAAAGAAGGCAAACAAAGTAGTATCCACGTTCCAAACAGCCGTACACATATATATTTTGGCACTTCTTGGTCGTCTTCCAAAAATAATTTATAACAGATTTTACAGGATTTTCTACATAAAGGCAACAGTAGTATACCGCTGTTCAATAGTCATAATTCGATTGAGGGTAACCAACTAAAACCGAGGGAAACACATCAACTATAAGAGGAAAACAAAGGAACAACAGAAACACTGAACTACACAAAAGCAAACGCCAACATACATAGAAACGGACTGTAGATAACAACTGCCATATTCCTGACTTGGTACATGACATTGTAAGAAAAATGGTGGGTTGAACCTGGTTTTATGGCTAGCGAAACCTCTCACTTATATCTACCAATTTATTTTCAATATTTTCCAACTTAGAACAACCTTCTATCCTATTTTTCAATCTGTTTGGAATAACACTAATAATACCATAAAACAAAACAAAAGATATTATTAATATTATACTTTTTGAAAACTTCTTCACATGAAAACAATGTATTATTTTCTGACACTAGAACGTTAATAAAAAAAATACATTTTACAATACATTTGAACCTCAAGATCATCTTACCTTCTATTTTGATTTTTGGATTCAGCCATACGGATTCGATCAGAATATTAGTATTTTCTTCCATTTTAGACTTATTTTGCAAGTTAATCAAGTAATACATCTTAAAATGAATGTAAAATTTTGTCTCCCCAAATTCCTGTTATAACTAAGCAACACAATTTTCCAAGTAGAGGATTTTTGTGGATCTAATCATTTTTACAGCCAAGACATTTTATACAGTAGCAAACAATAGTAATTATGAGGCATCTTTTAAAAGATATCCTTCAAAGAATTCGGACATTACCAGTGATTTCTTTACTTTATCTGGTTTTGAATATCCCTTTGTATCTCTGCCTAGGTTTTCTAAGTTTCTGTGATTGTTGCTTGTATCTTGAAAAATATAATAGATATAATCATAAAAATAATTACAAATTTTTATGGTAATGTTCAGGAACAATGAAAGACATCATAGGTAGAAAATAACTGTAAATAGCAAAAATATCAACTAAAAAAAGACCTAAAAAATATGAAAAGGGAAATTCATCATACGGATCCTTTAAGAGTTCATGTCCTTGAATAACGTTTTTTTTCTCAATTTGTTCAGAACCTATTAGAGAAACTCATAGATAGAGAGTATCAGTAAATTTCAAAAATTATCAGCCAAAAAAATAGACAAACAAAAAAACAGCATGGCTTTAATCGTCAGTCGACTCCTTATAAGTGTAATTGCCATTGAATTTTGTATAAAAGTGACACCTAACATCTACGCATTCCAACACCAATCCGAATTCCGATAGCAAAACAAAATCTTATTCGGAAGACTCCGTATACATACTATTAGTATTTTATTGTAATTATATTACAGAATGATCTAATGATGCTTGTATTACTAGACTTGCAATTGCTTACATCAATCCGACACTAATTTAGTGTTTCGGCGGTTTTTGTATTATATGCTAATGATAAATATATTACATAAATTTTATGAATGGGATTAAGCATTGTAGGCCCGCCATCATCAGGGATTTACCTATCAATTTATTTTATTTTGTCGATGTCAATAGATTGGCTATATTTTTATGCTTTTTATAAGCTTTCATTGGTTTGCTTGAGAATATTTCTTTGCAAACCGCATCCTGTTTTAGAAGATCCTAATGTTTACTAATGCATTGCTTAATTTGTGAGTGCATGGATTGAATTTCGTTGCCAATACTAAAGGAATTTCCTTTGTGTGTTTTTTGGCCTTTTTTCTGATTAAAACAGATCTATCACATGATAATGCCTCATTATGTACTGTTCGATTTCGATCTCCTTATATCTCTTCTTAATTAAGTTCAATCTGAACTGTAACAAGATATGTTGTAAATCATCTGCATTATTTGTTGTTCTAATGTATCTGATGACTTCGCCCTTGATAAAACCTAGATAAAGGAAAGAATGTGTTGGTTTAAAGTGCGTTGTCATATCCAGGATGATTTCATAAGAAAACATAGTTCCTTTAAAAATATTAATATCAAGAAATATTATTTCTTTAGATGAAAATTCTAGTGTGAATTTTAGGAACGGACAATGATTATTTGCTAAGTAAACTCTAACAAATCCTTTATTTCTTGCATGTCGCCGTGATATATTAATATAATATCATCACGATACCTTTCATAGAAAAAGAGATTTTTTCTATGTTCAAACTTAAAAAGAATTTCTTTCATAATTTGATACTTGAGAATATCACAGATTTCCTGGCTTGGCACTGCTCCTATCGCGGCGCCTTTTTTTTTTTTTTTTGCTTATAAAGCTATCCATTAAAATAAAAAATGTTGTTTTCTAAAATTGATCTGAGGAGATAGATTAAATCATCCGTAGGTGGGTATTTGATTTTGTAATCTGATTTATCAAACTGATCATACGAAATTCTAACTGCCGATAATAATTTATTAATCGGGCAATTAGTGTACATTGATACTACATCAAAACTACAAAGCCAGAAATCTGCAATAGGCTTAATGTTTTCCAACTTGTGTATAAGATCAGACGTATCTCTTATGTAAGTGTGTTGTTTCTGTACTATAAGTACAAGAAAATAATCAATGTAGCGTCCAATAAATTCCGTGACAGTGCCAATCTGAGATATGATTGGCCGACATGGCGGCATTATGTTTTCAATGTTAAACCCATATTTATTGATTTTTACTAATTCCGGTTCATTTAATCGGTGTATTTTAGGCAGGATATGTATATACACAGGCCCATAATTAATTTGATTACCATTATTAAGGTAATTAAATGTGGAGTAATCTATAAAAGGAGTAACCAGGTTACGATAGAAATAACCACAAACTAAATGTATAGTATACGCAGCATAACTTTAGAAGTCTGTACAGAAATTATATATACGAAAACGATATATAATTCACCTATTGACAAAGGTGTTAGTATGTTTTGCTGGGATTGGTAATGGACACGGCTATTTATTAAATTTGCTGGGATTGGTAATGGACACGGCTATTTATAAAGTGCCCTAAAATACTACTACATTTGATATGTTACCACAGCAAGAACTTATCGAACTGTAATTACATAGTAATTATAATTATACAAGGCTAGGGTACCTGATGAAGATTTACGGCCTTGGTCAAAAATGACCTAAATGATATCCGAAACACCAGGTGCAGCTTAATCATTTTTAACTCATTGAAAATCAAAAACTTCTACTTGATTACCACACATCATTACAGATGAAAAATCATTGCCTATATGCAAATGAGTAAAACCAGATAATCTTCTAACACACACACACACACACCTTTCTAACAGTAATTATTTTATATAAGAAAGGTCAAATCAGGTTACGATAGAAATAACCACAAAATAAATGTATAGTATACGCAGCATAACTTTAGAGAAGTCTGTACAGAAATTATATATACGAACACGATATATAATTCACCTATTGACAAAGGTGTTAGTATGTTTTGCTGGGATTGGTAATGGACACGGCTATTTATAAAAATAAGGATTGATGTAAGCAATTGCAAGTCTAGTACGTAATACTAGCATCATTAGATCATTCTGTGATATAATTACAATAAAATACTAATAGTATGTATACGGAGTCTTCCGAATAAGATTTTTTTTGCTATCGGAATTCGGATTTATGTTGAAATGCGTGGATGTTAGGTGTCACTTTTATACACTACTTTACCCATTCTGTATGTTGTACATACAGTATAGTAGATAGATAGAAACTGTAAAAATGTGTGTATATTTTACAAATTGTATTTAATAGAAATATTATCGTAACGTTCATTTTAATATATATCGTTGCTTTAAATAACGGAAATGCGCAAAGTATGATGCAGAACTTACCGAAGGGAACTAACTTAAAATAAAGCTTAATTTAAACAGCAATAAGTGATCTTTTTATTTAGATAGTTTGGTTGCACACAGGAATATCTATACTAAAATTTACGAGAAAAAAACAAATTGACATTCTCTGTCCCATTGTAAATTTTTATTTTGTTTACGGTGTTATTCCTGTGGCATCCTCTTCATGTTCTAACGGTGTTTATGCTTCCAATCTCGTTTGCTATGCCCGTGTCTTTTGTAACGTTTTATATAAAAAAAAAGAACGTCAGCTATGTATGTCTTATAAATTATTAAGTCAAGGCTATTGATATAATAATTGATCTAATTGTCATGATCATTGGTTAAAGTTTTTTCCTAGTTTGGTCCGTTTATCAGATAAATGCAAGGTTTAATATTTCATGTATTTATTGATAACTCCTAAAAAGCTTTGATTGAACAAATTTGTGATGACAACAATCTGAATATTACACTGCAGAAGTGTTCGTGCAAATTCTCTGTGCTGTATCAATTTTGATGCTTTTTTATATTTCATTTCTATTTTATAAGTATGTTCTTTTAAAGCCCTAATTTACTGTTTTATGTTTTACATAAAATCAGACTTTGGACAAATTATTTGGAAACGTTTCTTCTTTGATTGTCGAATCACAAATGCTTTAAAATAATGTCTGATCACTGCTCAGTTTTACAGATGTACGAATTATGGATATAGTGTAAAATGATTTATTTATGTACATTTGTGTGTTTGTTGTATTTGTACTCCATGTGAAATAAATCACTATCAGCACAGGAGGGGTTAGGACTTTTGCTATTCATGCCCACGTGGAATGATAACTAGAGAAAAGGATCAAACTCATCAGATAATTGTTATCGTGGGAATGATGACGAAGACAAGTTATTACATGTATATTTTGTTCTTAATGTAAAAATCGTTTCACAAAAGCCAAAATCGGTTACAACATTGAAAAGAAATTTCAAATAGTTATGTTTGATCTAGCTAAAGCAAGCTATATGGCCGGCTCTGAGAGCGGAAAATGAATGTATTGTAAGTTGTTAACGTTTAATAACGAGTAACTTTACAGGAAATGATTTCATAAATGCAATTTTATGTTAGACCATGGGAATAGTCTAGCGGTACCGTCGAGGAGGGGGGAGCGCAGGGTAAATCAGCAATGGCAAGTTGTAGTAAAATCTCACAAAAAATTCGTGGCTTATAAATTAATACGCAAGACTCGCATTTCACCAGTAGTGTCGCTCGAATCAAAACATCTAATTTATCCTTAACGAAAGAATGAAACGAATAATGCAAATAAGAATAACTTGACAATTACAATTCCATTATATGTATGCAACATTCTCATGATTCTAAAGTAAAGTTATGCGGCGAGTCCTGACGTATCTAACTTGCCATTTGATTACTTTTTGTCTTGTTCAACAGTAATTATGTAAATAACAAAATATTGGTTCCAGGGTCTGTACGATATACCACATATTCTGGGAAAATATCCAAAGACACGGCAAATACAGGTTATATTTATTTATATTTATAAGTTTTGTTTACATCAGAAAGTTATTAAAAGAATATTTAACCTTAATTGATTGATGATTGTTTTCTTGGAAAATATCAAACAAAATGAATGAAAGATCAAATTGTTTATTATATTACTTACCACTTAAAACAACCATGAAACAGGGTATAACAATTCGATGTAGTCTCTTTTTGAAGAGTTTTTAAAGACAAACGTAATAAATAATACTACATGTATATAATGTTTATGATGATGACGATGATGATGATGATGGGTATACGTTTAACGTATATCGACATATGAAATGCATATTCAGGACGAGAACATGTTAATGTAATATGAATATTAACCCTACTTTGTACCAAATCGACACGCTGAGCGTAATTTTTAACGTTCTAGTTCACAAGGTAACAGTCGACAGGACGACATGTAACCCTATTCGGACACATTATTCTGACTCAAATCAGACTAGATTTTACTCTTACTCCTTAATGCCCTTTATTTAGCGGAGAAGCAGCAAATACCAATTTTAAAATCCTTACTTTGATCTCTCCGGGGTTCGAACCCACGACCTCCCTCACTCGAGGCGAACACGCTACCGGCGAAGGCAGAAGCGCTTTATACTAAAATTGTGCGCACTATTAAGGCTTTCACAACCTTATGATATTTTAAAAAGAAGCATCTAATTCTCATAATTTTATTTATATGATACAACCACGAATTAACGAATTATATCAAGCTTTAAGTTTGTTTCCTTTGCACTTTTGTGACGTCGTTGTCATTAGGAGCACGTGCTACATGAATGTGTCATTGTATTGAGAAATAAAGTATCATTTTGAAATGCCTGGCGATGTTTAGCAGCCAATCAAAAAAATGGATTCTTATAAAACATATCTGTAATTTTATTGTTTATTGATATTGTATGATTGAAAACTTCGTTTTATCTAATGTACAAAATAGATCTTAATGTCAAAACGTATTATATATTCTGATATATATTTGTTTTTCCATAAAAGAGGGGCAAAAGATACCAAAGGAACATCTGATGTACAGTAGTTGTCGTCTGTTTATGTAGTTCACACGTGTTTCTCGTTTCTCGTTTTTATATAGATTAGAACGCTGGTTTTCCCGTTTGAATGGTTTTACACTAGTAATTTTTGGGGCCCTTTATAGCTTGCTGTTCGGTGTGAGCCAAGGCTCCGTGTTGAAGGCCGTACCTTGACCTATAATGGTTTACTTTTATAAATTGTTACTTGGATGGAGAGTTGTCTCATTGGCGCTCATACCACCTCCTCCTATTTCTATTCAAACTCATAAATCGAAAATAAACTGACAACGCTATGGCTAAAAAAGAGAAAGACCAACAGACAAACAATAGTACACAAAACACAACATATATATAACAAGTGAATAAAATCACGAGACTGGAAATATTGTTAAGCTACTTGACAACGAGAAAAATTAATGTATCGTTACGCGTTTTCCTTCGAACACTACTGTTGTGACTAAAACATCAGTCTTTGTATTCACGAGTGACTGAACCTTCAAAGCAAGTTAAAAAAAAAAACAAAGGGTTAAGCATTTCATCGCAAAGATAAAGATCGATTCGTGCTGCGACACCATATCTTGGACAAAAGAAATAAATGGTTTTGAGTCTTTTAGATGGATAGATAAATCGTACGATGAGTGAAAGAGTAGAATTGCATCGAATTGTTATACTCCCTGTCTAGAAGTGGCCGCTACTCAGCAATCACCTTGTCCCTACGTCCCTTGGTCTGTCGTGATTCGGTTGACTGTTATGAAATACCCTTGTCACATATATCAAGGAGACAATCAAGAACTATATGTCATATAAAAATAAAAAACACAGTTGACATAAGAACAAAGAGGAAAAGACAAACAAAAGTCCCACAAAACTGAAATTAGAGAATACGAATCTCCTGTGAAATCGGGGGATGAACTCATGATTTTGAAACAGCTCGTCATGTATCTTTTTCCTTTTTTGAAACTAAAATTATAATTATATACTGTATGCAAAGCAATGTGATCTACACATTTTTAACAGCAGAATGCAAAAGAAAGGCAAATAAGTCAAATTTTTCGATAATTTGTGGAGGTGTCAATCTTAAAGATGTTCGCTCCTCTTGTTTTTGATTTTTTGTCAGATATTCGGAATCCTCTGGTTTTATCCATGTAGTGCCATTAAAAATTTTACCCGCTAACCCCTACTTTTCTTTTCATAATTTTATTACATATAGTTTAAAAAGCCATATTTGAAAAATCTTATATAATCCTTGTTATTTTTTCATTGATTTTAAAAGAAAAAAGCGGCCAATGTTAAAAGTATGAAAAATCTAGAGAAAATCATATCCGGCCAAATTTTCAACGGCTTATATTTTAAAAACAAGCACACGGACCCATCATTTTTTTCTGCTTTCTTAGTTCCTTTATTTATATACTATCATTTTATAACAGTCTTTTAAAAAGCTTATTATTTTGAAATAGAGTAGCGAACATCCTGAATGATAACAGGTAATCATAAGTTGGGAGAAATTCCTGACCAGGTTAATACTGTAGCATTTTGGCTTATACATGTTCGCCCCCAGATCTGCCAAGTGATTGTTTTTTTATTTGGTAAAGAATTAGAGGCATAAGTTGACTCTTTGTCTGTGTCATTTCATATGTGTTACCGAGAGTGTACACAATGACCTTTTCTTTACTAGATAAGTTTTTTAAACGCCACAAGTTTCTAGTCTTTTGACTTTTAGCTCAACAAAACAATAACATTTTTATTTTTCACATCCAGGTATGATTATCGGACTTACTGTTGGATTGGTACTGTTAATATGTGGTGTAATGACAGTCGTTATCATGGTTAAATTCTGTAAAAGGTATATATCAGCTTCTTCTGACGTTTTTTTTTATTTCAATATTGTAGCATGTGTAGTTAAATTTAATATAACAGACTAGAGTCCACTAATTTTGCGATGATAATCCAGCTTTATTTCAGAAGTGTAAGTAGGTATCACAGTCGTGAAAAACGAACTAGAGACGCCCGACAAAGCGACGTAACTGTCACTTAATTTATACCTAATGCTTGTATTATACAACAAGTTTTGACTAATGCAATTGAACACGCATTGAATTAAATAACCTTTAATTGTAAGAAAACGCCACAAAGTCATTGTGTTACTTCATTTGTGTTTAAAATTTATCTCACCATTTATTTTGGGTCTTCAATGCTCTTCAACTTCCTATTAATTTGTTCCTCTTAATTTTTTCGGATTTGAGCGTCATTTGTGAGTCTTTTGAAAACGAAACGTAGGTCTGGTATCCGTGGAGAGTTTATTCAACTTTTGCCATTATTTGGCAACTTTTGTGGCAGAGGTTTTCACAATTTTTTGTTTCCGAACCGATCGAATAAATGTGAACCATGGGTCAAATCACAATTTTGGCTTATGTCGTAGATGAAAACTATAGCAGAGTGAAAAACAATGTGCCCCAAAATGATCAACCAATCGTTTTACCGGTCTTATACTGCAATAAAGTTTTTTGGAAACATTGTTCTTATACTACTCAAAAGATGATTTTTAAAAAAAGATTTTTACTTCCAACTAAGAAAGAGTAACTCCACCAATATGTTTCTCCTTTTATTCTCTGACAAAACAAGTATTTTTAAACAAAATTAATATTGTAGCTTTATTAAAACAAACTCTTTATGTCTGAATTTCAATTCTTTCGGATACCGCTGTAAACTAAAATTTAAAAAAGAAAGTTTATTTACCCAATAGTAGATTGAACGGAAATTTCTATCCTCTGTTTGAGTTAGAGGCTTAAGCTGTCGGTTGACTTCATAAGTCATGAGTTTTTTTTATGATATCAATAAATATTTCATGAATGACGTCATTCTTTGCATATCATAACTATCTTTTACAAATACAATTTGATTTGTATAATGTAAGTAAATAATAAAATGTAAGGTCTTTTTAACACCAAATTAGAAGTGTAGTAATTATTTTCATCCGGGAATTCAGTCGAAAATCAGGCTTTTGATTCGGATTTGTACGGCGGGTGGCGGACAAATGTTTGGAGGTATTGGTGGATTGTTGGACAGGCGGGAGTTCGACTCCACCTGTTTCAACCAATGCTTTTCAAATTTTTATATGTTGGTACAAAATAGAGGTCAAGTTCGATATTGACGATTTTCATTTTAACGTTCAGGAAATATGGTCCTTGATTGACTGGGAAATTGCACTTTATGCCGTATACGTGCAATAACTCATGAACTGTTCAACCAATATGCTATTCATATTAATTTGTATCTGCTTCACACATTTCAATATGGTGTTACTGATGACAAGCTGGAAGACAACTTTCAGATAAAAAAAAACATCACTTTTACAGTTCAGGAGTTATGACCGTTACATGCTTTAACGATGACATTTAATAAAAATCTCGATGCCTATCCTGGTGAAGGTGAAGAAATTAACAAATAATCATTTAAGTTGTAAAGCCTATATTAGTGAACCTGGATACAGGGTTACAAAGTCACTAAAGAGAGAATAATACATAGGATAATATCACTTAAAGAGATTTAGCAAGAGCTCATTAACATAGTGAAAGGTCTGCTACATAAATTCCGATTTAACATCCCTTATTCTTTTGACATGTCCTTAACACTGAAAAACCACAATCACCCTACATTACAAGTACATGTAGTGTACTGAAAAAATAACAATGAAGACTTAGTCCTAAACAATTCGCACAACTTCTAAAATAAATCAAGGAAGACAAAAAAATCTTCACCCTGTCGAACACCATTTATCCAATTCCTCCAACTTTATAAATTACTTGACAAGCAGAATGCATTGTGTTAATTGAAACTATGTGTTATGTGCGAATACAAATATGCCTTCTTGCACATGCAGGATGAATTATTTCTAGAAACTGCATTTCATAACTTTAGATTGACAACTGGTAGTGCCGATACAGCGACAATAGTTAATAACCAAGACCACGACCATAACCAAAACCACGAGCACTCTAATCAAGAAATGAATAACATAAATCAAGGGTTCCAGAATGTTGCTAGTATTCCGAACAGTCCTGTTGTAGCAAGTAATGGAAACGTGGATGATGACCACTATGCTTCAATTCATGAAATGAACCTTGCAAATTCAAGTTCGAATAATGATCAACTAAAATCAACGTGTTTTGTATCCAAATGAGTTGGAAAATAAACAGATACAAATGAAAACCATAAAATTTGTACCGAAATCGAAATCGCGGGTATGTAATTTTAGATGTGAAAAAAACAACAACTTTATAGTCTTTGTTATACTGTTCTTTAGAAATTCAGAAATGTGTATCTTGAATTATATCAGTTGATGAAACATTTAATTATTGCATCAAATAAGATAAGACTGGAAAATTGATTACCTGAGTTTAAAAAAAGTATTGCCTTTGATGCAAATCAATGAAGATGTTTTACTGGTTATTGAAATAACTTTCTTTGCGAGGATTTCTTCCGTTGGATATTACAATCCCGTATTGCGTATTAAGTCATGCAAAAACATTAACTTAGATTTGTAAATAATTGTCTCCTAATTTGTGGACATGCTGAAAGATTGTATTGTCTATGCATGTTAGATGTACAAGAAAGAAGCATTTCAAAAACGTAAGTATATATATACGGCTGGTGTGACACCGACATTATTAAAACTACGCAATAAATAAATTAAGGATTATATCGAACATTATTGCGTATCTGGTGCAGTATGATTGGTACTATTAATCTTATTCACCTTCGTATAATCGAAAGTAAACCTAGTTTTTCGTACAAAAAAATTTAAAATGTCACCAATACAGATATTTTGAAAATATCATTACTGGAATCCACGATATCCTCGTTTCATGTGTGTTCTTTTCTGTTATGACATTATTGTGTCATATTTTGAACATTTAAATACTTTGCGGATGGCAACCTCTAAGATTATTGGGTCACTAGCAGCGGTACCGACCCAGATGTAGTTATGTACATGTTTGATTGAAGGCTGTGATAAATGAAACCATTGTCATCATAATCATCATTGTCATCATCACATCATTAACATTATCATTTGAATAAGACTACCAGTATTCTTTGTATTTCTATAACATCGAGTATTTCGTTTTCAGACGAATCTTATCATCAAGTTATTATTGTTATTATACAACTTATACATGTAATATTTATATATGGAAATAAATAAATCATTGAAAAAACTACATTTTCTCATCTTTCTGTAACATAAAACCATAAATAGGTATATTAAAAGTATGTTTGATTGAAATGTACAATTTTTCACAAAATATACAACACTGTTTTACAGTAACACACATGCTACATCGACCTGTTACTAAGCACCTGTCCTACTTTCATGGCAAATATGTTGTTGTCCCCGCCGATAAAGCCCGAAACAATACCGTTTTTATGTGTAAATAACATTATTTGAACTGGTTGTAACGGAATTAGATACCGACAATTCACTTGGAAACTTAACCCGCTGGTCCTTTGCTTTTTCTTTGGTTTTGCTGTGCATGTATTGATTGCGTGTCATGGATGGATACCCTGTACTTTTTGTTTTTCTCTTATGTATCTCCATAACACTTACAAAGGAGGAAATCCTTAATAATCATAGGTCTGTTCTATATTCCTTTGAAATTTAACCAAAGAAGAAGAACTGGATCTTTCTTCACTCTGTTGGATACCTAAATAAGTGTTCTTAAAAACAACGTTGCATTGCTGGATTGTCCTAGTGCTCCACGAAACCTCTTTCTAATCAAGTAACTTCAATTTTATCAGCAACCAAAGTCGGGCTTCAAAGTTATTGCGAAACTGCGCACTCTAGAGTTGGCATAAATAAGATGTGGATACTAACAAAATAATTCCAAAGATCTGTTAGATTACATACAATGTAAATCTCTTTCCTCTTGCAATAGTATCATAACATTTGACTTTTTCTATCCTTTACACAAGTGTTCCCCATTCCAAACTAAAAGACAAATTGAAAGACTTGATCCTGCTCTGTTTCTTTAAAAGGAATGACCGAAGTAGATATAAGTATCTTGTCTGAGGGGGGAATAAATAAAGGCAACAGTAGTATACCGCTGTACAATAGTCATAAATCGATTTTACTGTAACAAATCCGGGTCACAAACCAAAACCGAGGGAAACACATCAACTGTAAGAGGAAAACAACGGAACAACATAAACACTGAACTGCTACAAAAACAAACGCCAACATACATAGAAACGGACTATTTGATAACAACTACCATATTCCTGACTTGGTACAGGACATTCTAAGAAAAAACGGAGGGTTCAACCTGGTTTTATGACAACACTACGTGACAGAAATACATTACAACTAAACGCAAGAACACTCAGGACAGAGACATACATAAATAGATAATATAATAGTACATTACAACATGTAAACCACAGAATAAAAACGGACACCTCTCATTTACACCACAATAGAATTATGAACTGTGCGTAAATCATACTTTAGGCTTTCCCGTTTGAATGGTTTTACACTAGTAATTTTGGGGGCCCGTTATAGCTTGCTGTGCGGTGAGAGCCAAGGCTCCGTGTTGAAGATCGTACTTTGACCTAAAATGGTTTACTTTTATAAATTGTGACTTGGATGGAGAGCTGTCTCATTGGCACTCATATCACATCTTCTTATATATATTTGTAAAAATTCACTCTGATTCTAGCAAAATATTATCTGAAAATGACAGTATCAAGATGCTTGATTTCTTGATTGATAACGTATTTGTTACGTTTGGAAGACATGTTTAAAAAAAACCAACTATTGACATTCTCATGAGAACCAACTGTGCTCTTCTTCTAGCCGACTTGTTCCTTTGTTCATTGTATGAAGTATGAAAAGAAGCTAGCATTATCTACTAACTTCACATTCCGCTATATATGTAGATGATGTCCTCTCACTAAATAGTTCAACGTTTGGTGACTATGTTGAACGCATAAATCACAACGATCTTGAAATAAAGAATACAAAAGATACAGTCAAGTCTGGCTCTTATCTTGACTTGCATCTAGAAATTAGCAATGAGGGTCGGTTGAGAACAAAACTGTACGACAAAAGTGAGTTCTCCATTTCTATGTAGTAACATTCCAGCAGCGTCTACATTTTTGTACATATGGAGTGTTTATCTCCCAGTTGATACAATGTTTCAGAGCTTGCATTTCCTTTCATGATTACAATGAAGCTATTAAACCAAGAGTTCTAAGTAGGGAAGTTGAAATCATCCCTTTGAGATTTTTTCGAACGCCATCACGAGTTGGTTGACCGTTATGTAATATATGTTTCACAGATGACGACGGATATGTTCCTACTGTGGTAATCACAATCCCGTGTTCTTTGCCTCGAATGTGACCTACTATATTGGACTTATCATCGGGTTTGTACAAACATGAGCAACACTACGGGTGTCACGTAGGATCTGCTTACCTTTAACGGAACACCTGAGATCACCTGCGGTTTTGGTGGGGTTCATGATGCTAAGGCTTTAGTTTTCTATGGTGTGTTTTGTATAATGTTGTTTATTTGTTTTTATCGTTTTTCATTTTTTGCATGGCCTTGTTTGTTTGTTTCCGACTTATGGATTTGTATAATCCTTTAGTATCTGTCACCTCACTTTTCTTACAGATAAAAGGGAAAAATGTTTTTTTTTTAATATGGTATCAAACGTTTTATTTGGTTGATATTGTAACTAGTATTCCAATATTTTGCAAGTTACAAACAACGAACAGTGCAGATTAATAGTATTCTTTTTGCATTCCTAATTTAGCAACACAAACAGGCAAAATGTATAGTCAATGAGTATCAGTCTGACTTTTTGTGAATGCAAATTGCTACATGACGCAGATTTTACTATTTTGAATAATATATGAATAATTGTCAATTAAACTTACTTGTTACATTGGTTGATCTTTACCAAAAGAACCGGAAGAGAAAAACGCAGATAAAAAAACAATCTACATTCAACAAAACAATAAAGAGTAACCAAATATAAATCATCAGGAATATGCATGCTTCAGACCACAATTAATTCCCTATATTCGTCCTCTTTTCCTCGAATGTGACCTACCGAATTGAACTTATCACCGGGTTTGTACTAACTTGAGCAACACGACGGATGCCACATGTGGAGCAGGATCTACCCCTCCGCAGCACCTGAGATCACCCCCAATTTTTGGTAGGGTTCGTGTTGCTCTGTCTTTGGTTTTCTAAGTTGTGTTTTGCGTACTGTTGTTTGTCTGGTTTTTTTTTTTGCATGCAGAGGGGAAATCATCTTTGTTTAGGGTTTAATTTTTGGTTTAATTACCCTTCAACTTCATTATTTACTTAGTCTTCCAACGGTATTGATTCGAGGGCAACAGTTACTGATAAGTCTTTTTAAGACGAAATACGTGTCTGACGTACTGAAATATAAACCTGGTACATGTAACTTTGATGCGTTTTTACAGCAAATAGGTCGATGCGTCATTGATATCACCAGCCCTTCTGTGAGCAACATAGCTCTTCTGTTATGGCATGGAATTTGACCAATACATTATTTTCGTTAAATTATATGACAATCTTTCTTTCTTTCTTTAAATTTGTACGCTTTAAAGTATTATTGATCAATTTATAACTGTATTTAAAGCGCTTGGATAGTAGTCTGTTTGTAATTCCATCAATGCCATTTACACCGTTGTAAATTTTCAGTATTATTTACAATTTTTTAATTTGTTTCCATTTGTTTGATTTTGACAAGAGATCAGTCATACAATCAATATAAGCACTCAGCCTCGATACATGGTTGTAAATCCTGTCTTTGGTTTTTGAAACAATGAAAATATTGCTTGAACTATTTGCTATCTTCCTTAAGGCATAATGCAATACTTCCCAAGAGCTTTTGTCTATGTGGATACAATATATATTTTGGGCGATAGATTGAACGAAGCAAACGTTCAGTTTGATCAACATCTTTAAATAATAAAATACTATATACTAACAGAATCTCTCTTTCTTCTTCCGTCACTGGTTAGACATCGTATTCGATTAACGAAATTATTACAGTTATTAGTTTTAGCAATATGTTACTTTTCTGTTATTCTCTTTGGTTGATTTAATTTTATATATTCATTGGCTTTTACTATTTCTTTTTAGTCACCTTCAATAATGTTACGACATTTAACTTTCCTCTTTATTTGAAAAATTGGTAAGAAATCATAGTCTTCTTTACAGTTGACTTAACGCTAATCTGTGCTATATATCGGTGACAACTTGTGTTTTAACCACGCGTTTATGTATTTATAATATATGCAAGTACAGAAAAATAGACCGGGTTCATGTACGTAGTGTAGTGATGCCTAAGTGAAAAATGGTGTAAATCTATTTCAAATGTATTAAAACTTATGAAACCTTCAAAATTTAAAAAAAATCAATCGTTGTATCATACGAAAATAACACAATATATATAAAATTTGGCATAATATATTTCAAATATATCTGAATTCGTATGAAACACTGAACTGCATACATAAGGCCATGCCATTTGGGAAATCTTTCCAATATATTACTTAGAAATATACGGCATGTACGATATTGCAATTCATTTTTTCTATCATTCTTTTCAATCAACGGCGGAGGCCTCGAAAGAAGTAAAGTGTCTTTGGTGATAATTTTGATAAAGGTAGCCAAATCCTATTTTGTGCAGGCTCTCTAATTTTCTGTATCCAGTAAACAAAACTGGCACTGTCTTTTCGCTTGGAAAGAATACACTTAACCATCAGCTGATTGTTTTCGCACGATTCCATTATTTCATCGAGGGGTCAATAAAGTTATTATAACGGAAATACAGTGGCTTCTAAATATACCTTGTGTGTGGTCTATTCAAATTTCCAGTCTGATTCTTATAAACCAAAACTCACTGTTGTGTACATCCGAGACATCGCTTTCTGTCAAAACAGGCTCATTTGTAGAAACAGACTTACAGTCCTCTGAGTTGTCTTTGTCAATGGAACTCAAACTATTATTAGACTTTGTGCTAGAAGTTTCTCTTTCTTCTGTTCATAGGTTGAAATAAGGTGCTGGTGTGTAAAAAGTAAAATCACAAAAATACTCGTATATATGTGCGAGCTTAAAACGATTGATTGATATGCACGGGACGATGAAAATTTTTCTTTCTAGCTGGATCTCTAA